ATACACTCTTTGCTTTTGAGAGAATCGCCATGCATGTTGTTACAAGCATTGAAGAGAAGCAGCACGTCTTTTAAAATGCCATCTGCCACGTATAAGTAAGTACTTATAAGGAATTCTTTTTTTAAAGGGCATTGGCTGCCAAGTTAATTGGAGGGACCATTTGGACCAACCAAATCAATCTTAATTTACATTTTACTTTCAATTTAGATTTGATTAAAATTGATGACTCGACTAAGGCTGTGATCCTATACCCACATACCTGACAGGAAGACCAAGAGAAATGACTGGGGCCTCTTTCTGTTATGCCAATTCACTGTAACTATGGTGTATTTATTAAGGTGTGATTACCTCGAAATATTTCTTAAACTCATGCTACATAGTCCTGCCTACAAGAATTCACCTACAGTTAAATAGGAACAACTGTTGACAAAATAGTTCCTATATAGCTGTGGCACCCCCTCCACAACTGTTAAATACCCTAGAATTTGTGTGACGAAGGTCACCGATTCTATTACATTTTACCCATTGATATGTTGTTTTTCTACTGTTTTATGTTTCTTTTTTGGGACATTGATTTTAACTGTTAACTGGTGGTTTTTCCCCTCTGTTGTTTTATGTTATAATTAAGTTGTCCCGAGGCCCTGTGAAGCCATGTGTTAGGATATAAATTTTAAACATAAATATTTTCCCAAGCACAGAACTGATTGCTACACACACACACACTTTACACACACACGTATAAATGTATACAAGCCAGAGCAGACAACTGTTATAAAATTCATTTTTATCCATTGTCTATTTAATCAAAGATTGATATATTCTATGAAATATTATCAGAGCAGAAGGATCAGTACACAAATTTAAAAAGTTACAGATGTTACTGGAAGATAATTTATGAGGATCTGGCTAATCAACAGCTACTAATCCATTAAGACATATAACTTCATAAGCATCTTTCTTTATAACTGTGTGATTAAGGCATAAACAGCCAAGAGATTCTCCTTCACAAACCTGTGCTTCATTTTTTAAAAAAATCTGTTTCCAAAACTATTCTTTATTTTTTTTTTCATATTCTAGTAGCCCATACTCTTCATACACCAATAATTTTCCATTATTCTATGTCGTTAAAATATGCAGAAGTGTTTGGTGACTATGGCAAAATCTCTCAAATACTTCTGGCACCTTAAAAGCTAGTCAGAACTTTGTGGCACCTTAGTGACCAATAAGTATCATCTCACACAAGAGCTTTTGTGGACTCCAGCCCAATTGCATCTTGAGACATGGACTCTAATGATCTGGAGCACAAGGAAGCTTATATTACATGATACTTGATGGTTTTTTCAGGGTACTACAAGACTCTTTGTTGTCTCTTCTTCAAAAGACTAATACACCTACCAGCCCGGAAACAATAATACATGATTCCCAGTCTTCTATACTTGGTGGGCAATAGGATTTTGCGGAAGTCTGGTAAATGGGGAATACCAGATGTGGCATGAACAAAAATATGCTTGCAGGATACCCCAGATCCATTGCTGCAGATATCTTTAATTCATAGACTAGGCTGTGATGATGAGGTCATCAGAACATACCTGTGATGGGGCACTAAACTGTGGCTCGTTGGCACACCACAAAGGCATAGATAGCTACTAGAGATGGGGGGATTTGTATTCCTATAAGAATACAAATATCCCAGCACAGGTGGCATTAACAAGGGTCCAGTCTCATGGGGCTGGACGGTCCACTCACCGATCCACCATGGATGCGGATGGCATGATTCTATGAATGGCTTCACAGCACACAATCTGCTTGCCACTCCTGGCAGGAGGCGAGAGGACAAGTCTCTGCAAGGTCGAAGAGTGGCGAGCGGATCGTGGACTGCAGAGCCATTCGTAAAATTGTGCTATCCACCTCCATTTCTAATAGCTGCTGCTACTTTAGGGATTTACATAACAATTTGGGCTTCATTACATACAAGTAACTTCTCAGCTGGTAGATAAGTGGCCCTATCTTCCGTCCAAAATGTTCTTGAACTACAGCTGCCAGAAATCCTGGCCAGCACAGCTAGTGGTGAAGGCTTCTGGGAATTTTAGTCCAAGACCATATGAAAACTCAAAGCTGGGAACCACTGTGCTAGAAGACCCTTCAGAATTAAGGCTTACCTTAAGGCATCATGGACACAACTCCAGAATTTCTGCTGTTCTGAAAAGCCCTGGACTATTGGATTGGCCAGAACCTCATCCCATCGGTGTCCACGTTCCCATGCACATATGCTTAGTTGCCAAGCCACAGTCTCCACCGCCCCCTGTGCCCATGGTAGCTTGCAGACCAAATGAGGTGGTGGCGGAGGCATATTTCACCACCAGAGGGTAGGGGAAGCCTCTGCATGATTCATTTTGGGCTCACAAACTGATGGTCATGGCCACATAAGCATTTTTTCATTTGCAATCAAAGTTTTCAACATGTGCAGCATTTCAGAAAACAGACACACTGCTGTGGAAATACTTGTGTGCCGTCAAATTTTAATTATATGTATGAATAATGTATATAAATGCACAGTATAATTCTTTTAAATATGACTTCTATTAAAAGCAATTAAACCCACAGGTTAATGACATCCTGTTGCATGCTGGCACTTGGAGTCGCCCTCTGAGGAAAAGCTTGCCAAGTCAACACCTTTTATAAATCTGTGCCTTTCTCCAAAATAAATGTATTCAGATTAAAAAGTGATCCACTTAATTTCACATATTAAAGAACAGCTTTCTCACCATATGTATCAATAATTCGTTTTTTAAAGTCTCAGAGTTCCATTTAAAAAAAAAAAAGAGGGCCTGGGAAAGATGAAGCGCCTACAGGAACGTTTCCCTCCAAAAGTCATGCCAATGCGGTGCTGTGTTTTTTTTCTTCTTCAGCCAAGGAGTATTTTGCTTGGCTCAACATCGCTTGGATTTGAAGCAGGGAAAAAACTTGCCTGCAGCCTAATCCAGTAAGATTTAATACAGTGTGCTGCAGATGCTGTTGCCTTTTGGCACATCACAATTGCTGTATGGCACACAGCAGAGAAAAACCCTTGACCACAGATTTTGTTTGGCTGAGGTCGCCAACTCTTTTGGCTCCATCTGCTCTTTGAGGCAACCCAACAGCATGTTTACAGAGTGTGGTTTCAGCTGAGGTGTCAAAACGGCTTGAGTTGTCTGCCTAACAGCAATTTACACTGAGGTAACGATATGACTATTAGTGTCTACCACAACAGCGCATCATATCTACCGGCAGGCAGATGTGCTTCCTTTTGCCCCCTGTGGCAAACAACAGTAACTTCAAAAGTACACTCAGTGGTTTTCATTCACATCAGTAATAAGCAGTTACAAGCATGCGGTGGTAATATGAGATGCGGGAGATCAGGCAGCTCAAGTCTTTGTTTGCTCTCACCGTTTTCTACTGACACACATCCAGAGCATGGAGAAGTTACTTCTCTGGGTGACAGCTTTCAAAATCCTCCAGCTAGCACACCCACTGCCAATGCTATCTTTGCAGGAGGATTCTGGGAGTGGTCACTCAAAAAAAAAGGGAAACTTTTTTGAACCTTCTTTTCTGATTCAATGGAAATCAATATCATAATCCTGGAAAGAGCATTTCCTTATCTCTCTCCCGCTATTTACACTTAGAAGAGGGGAAAAAACATACACTATGACTATCAGTGATCCTAAAAATTTTTAATTAAATATACTCGAAGAAACCCAGGTTAGAAAAGTTAGTGTGTTAGTGCATCATGCTGAACTCAAGCAGAGAGAAGGGCTTATGTATATATGGAAGGCAAAGAGAGAGAGTATATATGAATAGCAAAAGCAGGATTTTGTGTTACCTCATGGCCCTTGCTTTTTAAGATCGGAATTTTGGAACTGACTGCTGTTACCCAGGAAAATCCACTATCCACTGCCTTTCTGGGCAAATGGTTATTAGCCCAAGAAATGCTGTCAAAATACATTCTTAAAAACACATCTAGAGAGAAATTTCTGTTTTAAAACATCTATTTTAATCTGAACCCCCCCTGCCCGAAAAACTGTTTTTAAAACACTAATAAACAGGAAAACAGAACAGAACTAAGTTTTGATGAATCTTGCAAAAGAGGCAGAGAGTAGCAGTGGAGTGGTATAACCTCTACTTTTCATTTTTTTTTTTTGCCTCAGATTCCTCTTTTTAGGAACAAGCTACAGATACAGTAGTAGAAAAACCTGTTACTTATGCTCTGACAACCAAAACCAAATCTTCAGGCACTGGAACAACAGGATTGCTATGATTTCTTCAGCATAGATTTATGTCCAGAGAGGAAAATTACTTTTTTGGATTACTGGTTCTAGAAACCTCAAGCTACCATGGCCAGTGACTTTGCTGGCTGAGTTATTTTGAGAGCTGTAGTCCAAAAAACAAATAATATATTTTCCATTTTTCCGTTTATATCTAGCCATTTCTATCAGCATACAGTGACACAAACAGCTAAGTTTTTATTCTCAGTTTTAAGAATCCGTAAAGTGTTGTGTTAAGACAGACGCATGATCCAAGTTTTATATTCCTGTTATCTTCTCATATCTAACTTATTTTGTATATTTTATGTAATGTTTTTATCCTTGTACTTTTGGGTCTATGACCGTACAATAAATTCAAGTCAAGTCAAGACACAAACAGCAATATTACACTTGCTTATGCTACAGAAGTAATTTCTGTTGCTAATCTTCCAACATAATGTTATCAGCCAACATTGTATGACCAATGTCTTTTAATTCAAGATGTCACAGCAGAAACAAATTGATGACCTGTACCCTTTATAGCAGAGAAAGCTGAAATGAACTATCCATGCCCTGAACCCAGTTTATAGTAAAGAGAAACTCACATGACTGAAGTAAAATAGTCAGAGCCTTCTCAGCAGCCAGAAAGTTAAGCCCATACCAGTAAATAATGCATAAATATAAATCTATACATATACACATAAATATAAATGTATTTACCATTTTGGCTTCTGAGTGCATTGGAGGGACTTGTGGTGAAGCACATGGATTGCTGAGGTTTGGACCCTGCATTCCCATGATATTGGAGTTCATTGACATTTGACGCTCCATCTGGAGTAGGGAAAAACAGAAAAAAATATATCCAGGTGGCATTTTCAAAGTTGAACATATTTTCAAAACACCCACAAACTGTTTTTTCTTCAAATAGATACAAATTAGGCTTAGCTGTGAACAAAATGGAGAGATGGGGTGGAGATTTCTTCTAACCTTCTGTATGCTTTCAGAATGCTGCTTTCATCAGCTTTTCCCAAAATAGTCAATGGTGAGGCATCAGGGGCAGAGCAGCACAAGAATAAGAGGGTCACCCCTCTCCTACTTCATCCAGCATTCTGCTCCCATAGGGCTTAACCAGATGCCAGTTGGAAGCCCATAAACAGGTCATGAACACAACAACTTTCTCTGACTCATGTTAGTTAGTAGTTGTAATGAAGATACATTGGTATTGCACCTGTCCAGGACAGTACTTGGTTAAGCTGGTAGCAGAAAACATAGCCCATAACATAATTTCACCCAAGACTTAACCAAACCCAGCTTCTTCACCAGAACAAACTAGCCAGCTAGTTGATTTCTCCTGATTTTTAGAAATCAACACTGTTGGTTTAAGTAGCTTTTAAAACTTCACGGTATGAAGTTATGGCTGATGCTGTCAGGGCAGCCCAAGCCATCTTGCTGAAGATGGATAAAAAAAATTCATGATCTGGCATGTTTGAAGTGGAAGACTTTCCTACTGGAGCTATTGAGTCAGTATCGAAAAAGTGGAATAAGAATCACACACCTGTCTTACTGAATACTGTTACAATGCTACCAAGATACAGAGCAAAACTTAATTAAGCAGGACAGGGTTAATTCCCCCCCACACTCCAATCATGTGTGGTCACTGATTCATTTTCTAATTCATTTTGCTACTGCTGCTAAATATTGTATCAAAATACTGTAGCCGTTTGGTGAGTTCTAAAGGATTGGAATAATGTTAAGGGAAAAATTTTAAAAAGGGTTTTTTAAAATTGTGCAGCAAATCCCCTCTGATAGTAAAGCTATCCCTTTTCAGACCTGTCTTATCCTCATATGTAGCAGTGCAATGAAGCTGGGAATGGATGAGGTGGAGCACTCCCCTCTACATGTCCAGATTCTATAAAGCCTTTAATGGCTGAACAGGGCTGAAGAGTAGTGAGTAATGGAAAAAAGGTAGCTGCAGTGCAAATGCCACTGGACTTTATGTGGTTTAGTGACAAAAAAACCCCCTCAAATTCATGACATGAATAAATGTAAATCAAGGATATAAAAGGGTCACACCAAATGTTCTCAAATGGAACTCAAATGGCTTCAGTTTCTTTTGGTTGGTTGTTTTGGAGTGGAGGGTAAGAAACATTTGACCACTTCAAAATGAGTGAATAGTTTGAACCGATTCTCTTAATTATTTTAGGACTTCCCATAAGAGTTACATATTTATTTTAGGACTTCCCATAAGAGTTACATTATTCCCCCACCACTACCAACCTAGAGACATTTCTTTTAACTTTATTGTTGTAATATGGATGCCTCTGGCATTGGTGGAGTTCTCATCCCCTCACAAACAAATTCCAGGATTCAGTCTATTTCCAGAGAAGCGGATGGGTGAGAGCAGGCAAGTAAGTGCTCTGCCACCACAGATTATGGTGTTTAAACAGTGATACCAACAAGAGAACTCTGCAACTGAAATAGTAAGAGTGCAACTACACTGAAAAGCAAAATTGGAATCATTCGGCTTTGCTGCAATTTAATTTGCAGCCTGTATTATGTTAGAATATGTAATGAGTGCTCACACAAGGGCTACAGATTGATTCAGGTCACCGTTCATACTGGATGCAATGAGATACACATTCCAGCCCACAGACTCCCTTTTTTTCCCTTCTGCTGGTCCCGCTTTCAAAAATTCTTCCTTCCTTCTCTAGTTCCACCTCTGCCAATCCTTTATGGAGTGTAAATATGGGAAAAATAACAAGGACCCAGTGATAAGGAACCTTCCTGGGAGGCTCTTCTTGCGGGTGTATAACTCAGATGTCTGAACCCAAATATCACCAAACATGCAAGACATGTAGAGGAGAGTCAACAGAAGCTTCCCTGTGAATTTGGTGTCTTTAGGTTCTTGGAGGACTGTTTTATAGGGTTTTGAAGTAAAAAAACAAATTGACAAATTGATTAATTGATTCATCAGAAAAAATAATAAATTCATATTTTGTGATTTGTCAACTTTGAGTTTCTTTGAGTTGTTTGTTTTGGAGTGGAGGGTAAGAAACATTTGACCACTTCAAAATGAGTGAATAAGTTTGAACCAATTCTCTTAGTTATTTTAAGAGGTTAATGATTTGGTTAATGATTTGTCAACTTTGACAAATCATGAACCAAAATGAATCACCATTTGTCTGATTTGCACCCATCTCTGCTCGTAAATGTTATAATTTTCTCAGCAAAGTGTTTTTCATCTTTGTGAGAGTCTTCAGCTCGTAAACGTTATCATTTTCTCAGCGAAGTGTTTTTCATCTTTGTGAGAGTCTTCAGAGATGCAAAATGGTGACCCGTTCTTGGACATTAGAATCTATCAAGATTCTTTTCCACCCCTAAGTATGGAGATCAGCTTTTTTCAAAGTCAAAGATTCTATGAATCCAGTGAAAACCTTTTGTATCCTCTAAAGTAGAAACCTATGGCTTTCGTCCAACCCATGCTCAGTTTCATCGTATACCAAATAATTGCTGGAACACAAGGGGGAACTGCAAATACTGTACTAATTTCCCACTTTTAACAAAACATAATACATTAACTTATATTTGTACATATATACACTAGGAATACTTACTGGCATTAAAACTGCAGAGGACCCAGGCATGGTAGGATTAGGTAACGTTCCAGGCATAGAAGCTGGCATGGGCTGTCTTTGCCGGTTGTGCAGGTGCAATAATGATGATAAGGAGCCTGGGACAGGCCTAGAAAAAAAAAGACACAAAGGGTAAATCAGTTGAAACTTTCAAAGAGGAAAATTCCTACTCCAAGGAGGTAGATCAAAACTGTCATTAGAAAATCAGAATATTGAAAAGCAAACTCAGTACCCCAATGGTTTCAAATTTTAGTTCTGAATAACTTTCCAATTTGGGGGTATTTGTCTAAGGCAGTGATCCCCAACCTTTGTGTCACCATGCACCGGTTGGTGGACGATGGGGTCCATGAGTAGGGAAGGCGAGACACCCCACGTGCTCACGCATATGCACAAAGGGGCATGAGTGGTGCGTGTGCATGCACAAAGGGGCAGGGGTGCTTGCGGGGGCACACATGCACTCACACGCATGCGCGAAGGGGCTGTGTGGGGGGAGTGTGTGCAGGGGTGGGTGGGAGATCTGTCTCCATGGACTGGCACCTGGCTGCAGACTGTGGGTTGGGGACCCCTGGTCTAGGGTACAGATGGAAAGAATATTTACTAAACTCCTTGTTCTAATCGACTTAGGCTATCTCAACATGGCAAATTTTTGATAATTTGTGTAATGTTTTCCTAGTGACCCAGGACATAACTATGCCTGCCCAGGACAGAAGGACCAGCTACTTTTAAAAAAGGAATCCATCAACCCATCTAATTTTTCACATGTTTTCATAAGGTAGCAGTCCTCCTAGTTTCAAACAATTCACACAACTATGCAAATTAGTCACTTTTGTCCAAAAATAAATAATTTTTGTAAAAAAGTGGGGAATTTCTTTTGTACAAAACATCTTTGCAGATTTTCTCAATGAATTCTACTGGAAGCATCAGGACATTCCTTGCCATTTTCACCAGCAAGAAGAAGAAAGCTGCAGTTCCTTTTCCTTACCTTTGAGAATGAGATGAGAATTCTGAAACTATACCAAACAATTCTGAGAGATAAGGCAAATTTTTATTATATCATATAAGATATTATTTTATTTATCATATAGTTATGTTTTTTATTGATCCTCCTATATTCCCCACAAAGTAAAAGTGTTTCTGATTCTATTTTGATTGAATTAAAAATTACATTCAATTGTACTTTTAGTTTTATCAGCATCATCGTGTGCCACCAAGCCAATTCTGACTTTTGGCAACCCTTTACAGGTATTTCCAAGTAGAAAGTCGTTTACCATTCCCTTCTTCTGGGAGTGCTCTGGGATTGTACAATTTTAAAAGCCACTTAAAAACTTGGCTCTTTAGGCAGGCCTTCCCTCCAGTCAATTAACTGATCTTTATTCTTTGTTTTCTCACCTATTTCATCTTGGCAATGTTTTAGAAATAAGTGTTAAAGTTTCAGATTTTGGAAGATTTTATTATGTTTGTTATATTGTTGTGTTTTTATCATGTATGTAAGCTGCCCCGAGTAGACTTTGTCTAGGGGGGGGGCGGGGTAAAAATCTAATAAAAGTAAAAGTAAAGTTAAAAAACGTTTGTCCAAGGCCACACACAAGTGGGCTCTGTTGACAGGAGGCACAATGGGGAATCGAACTCCCAATCTCTGGCTCAAGCTTTAGATACAGTGGACCCTCGACTTACAGACTTTAGATACCTAAACCAGTGACCTATCCAGCCAGTGTTGAGTTGTATAAGGAACTCATAGTTCGAAAGCCAAATTCATCTTGTTGCATTTGTAATAAAGTTTATTTTAATCTACATTTTATGTTTTGAGTCACCACATTGATTTCAACTTGAAGCAACCCTAGTAGAGTTTCTGAGGTACAGTGGGGTCTTGACTTGAGAACTTAATCCGTATTGGAAGGCGGTTCTCAAGTCAAAAAGTCTGTAAGTGGGGCCGTCTGTAAGTTGAGGGTCCACTGTACCTAAACCAGTGACCTATCCAGCCAGCGTTGAGTTGTATAAGGAACTCATAGTTCAAAAGCCAACATTCATGTTGCATTTGTAATAAAGTTTATTTTAATCTACATTTTATGTTTTGAGTCACCACATTGATTGCAACTTGAAGCAACCCTAGTAGAGTTTCTGAGCTATATGATATATTTAAGGAATGCCTTTACTAATGTCATCCCCTAGTGAGTTTCCATAGCTGAGTGGGAATTTGAACTTGGGTCTACTGCATCCTTATCCGATACTCAATCCACAATACTACACTGGCTCTCATATTCATGAGTTAAACAGTAATTTTTCATTATTTATATCTTTCCTTTCTGTCCTCCTTTTCAAAGTGTTGGCATCAGTTTTCCATATAAATGTGTGCAATGTAAAATAAAATTTGACCTTATAATACAAATAGCACATCTCTAGTTTGAGTGGTTACACATAAAACCAGGAATCCATTAAATGAACATAATGCAGTGTTTCTGTGAAATCATAAGGGAATTTGAAATAATGTGTTTAAGAGGTATGTATTACATCACTGTAAACAAACATATAAAGCTTGTTTTCCCTGTGCCTTTTGCTGCTACATCCAGGGATACTGAGAATACACTAAAAATTTATTGTTCTCTGGAATTTTCTGATTCTCGCTATGCCAAGACTCCTCACCAAGATTTCTCCCCATAGCAGTAAAATTTCCCAGCTCCCTGGAAAAAAGAGGGTCTAATTTCCCCCCTTCTTACTTTGTTTTCCTTTTTGCCTCCATCCCCCCCACCCACAAAAAACTGCAACATTTGGCGTAGTGCAATCCTCCTTCTGAAATATTGAGCAAGAAAAATGCTATTTTGTGGGAGAACTCTACTAATTTTGCAGAGATTGGTGTTTCATCCTAAAAACAATGACCATGAAACATCCAAGAACTCTTGTAAGACTTCCTGAGGGCCACAGAGAAATTTCACTGCTAGGAGAAATTAGGGATTTTTTCCCCCTTTGTCACTGAGAGCAAGAGACAGTGAGAGTCACATCCCAACTTCACACACTTTACTTCTGATATAAGGGAAGTATAACAACAACAAAAAACCCTGCTGAATTGTATTTCTGCTAACTTTCAGTAATTCCAACCCAGAGATCTCATCTGAATATTCTTTTTTCCCCAAGTAGTCAATCTCCTCACCATGTTACACATGTTTTTTTTAAATACCCCGACATACCCTTTTGCTACTGAATAATACTCAGTTACAAGGGAGTGGGGAATTTAGGTTTAATTTCAGTTCCAACAGAAAACATCCAGTCTATCTAGTATACAGATGCCCCCCTCACCAAAAGTGACACAAAGCCAAAACTCAGAGCCTAACAAGGGAGATATTTTCTGAATACATATATGTTAAAATATGTAAGGGACAAGACAGATGGCAGCACAATTTTCACATAACTTTGCAACTGTTGACTATAGATTTTTGGTGGGTTTCTTTTTCGGAAAAATGGAAATCCTTCCATCGTTTTTATGTAGCTATTTTAAATTCATTCTACTATGTAGTGATGCTCTGCCAGACTTGACCTTACTTGCCAGGGAAACTGAACCACAATGTTTTGGATATGTGTTTTGGATGTATGTTCTCTGGACTACATTTTCTAGTAAGACTTCTCTTTGACGTAGCTTATTCTGGCTGCTGTGGTTTCCTAAGATATCAAGCATGTTTTACTTGCTGTGGGCTACACAAGCAGCAATCCTAGGAAGTCTATCCAAAAATGTTGTTTTCCAAGTATCCTCATGCTACATATTAAACCTAGATCAAACTGGGATCACTGGGTCCCCTTGGGACATCACCAGACCCCCCTTCTGTAACATTAACACGCCTTCATCTGATGAATTTCAAGCTGTTCAGTGTTGAAGATCTAACAGCCCTAATGCCACACTTATCATGGTTTGTTGCAGTATCATAATTAATTCCACATTAATCCTACAGGGACGTAACACAGAAATATTTACCAAAGGCTTTCTTCAGATTATGGCACAGAACAAAGTGTAATTTCTTATTACACAGCACTATGGAGAAAATATTTCAGTTATCAAGAGGCTCCATTGACATTTTTACCTGCAAACTAAATTTTAACATAATACAGTGGACCCTCGACTTACAGATGGCTCGACTTACAGACTTTTCGAGTTACAGACTTCTCTGGCGGCAAAATTTAGATTCGACTTGCAGCCTGACATTTTTACCTGCAAACAAAATTTTAACATAATAATAAAAACACTACTTGCCATCAGTATCAGACTTAATTATGACATTTGCCTTTTCCCCATTAACTTTGAATTCTGTAATTCTGACACGTACATTCTAAATGGTTAGAGTATTATTTTACACAAATAAATCTGAAGCTGCTCAATCTTGAGCTTACTCCCAGTCATGGATTAATTGGTTTTCAATGCATTGTAGGTCAATGGAGATTCGACCTACAGACTTTTCGACTTGCAGCCACCGTTCCAATATGGATTAATTCTGTAAGTAGAGGGTCCACTGTAATAAAAGCACTACTTGCCATCAGTATCAGACTTAATTATGACATTTGCCTTTTCCCCATTAACTTTGAATTCTGCAATTCTGACAAGTACATTCTAAATGGTTAGGGTATTATTTTACACAAATAAATCTGAAGCTGCTCAATCTTGAGCTTACTCCCAGTCGTACTTTAAAAAGATAGAATTGAAAAGTTTGTTTGCTTTTTAATTGATGTATTTTTAATGGATTTGTTTTCTTTTCCTTTCAATCATTGTTCTTTGTTTTATCTGTATTTTCTTATTCCTTAACTATATTATGTATTAATTTAAGCTGAAAGGTAGTATATATGTATAAATAAATAATTATTGATACACCCTGAGCTGTTTCACCTGAACCTTGCCCCCCCTCCCCCAGATTTAAAAGCCTTCTTGAAATGCTGAGCGCAGGATCAGCTGTTGGACCACAGAAATAAATCCAAAAGGAAAACCCTGAGTCCTTTGCATGTACACACAAGGGAAAGCACATAATCAGCAAACTCTGCCATTGACTGTACAATGCATTTTCAGATTGTATCAACACCTTTCAATTAATCAAGCCTGGTGTGTTGTTTTCTTTCTTTCTTTCTTTTTTTACT